ATTTCAAAGGGCAGCTCGAGAAGACAAAGTATTATAATGAAACGTTCAAAGACCTAGAGTTAGAAAATCAAAAGGGAAGAAGATATTCGGCAGGTTTTAAACTGAAAGAACTGAAGAAAAAATTCAAGCCTCAAGTTATAATTTTGAAGGATTCTATGGGCAAAATGGATCCCTGGTAGCTCAGTGGTTAAGAGCTCAGCTGTTGACCTAAAGATTGGCAGTTTGAATCCACCAGCCACTCCTTGGAAACCCAGTGGAGCAATTCTGCTTTGTCCAGTAGGGTCACTATGAGATGGAATCAACTTGAAGGCAACAGGTTTGTTTGTTTTTTTAATGGGCAAAATATTGAATGATTCAGGAAGCATCAAAAGCAGGTGGAGGGAATACACAGACTTACTGTACCAAAAAGAACTGGTCTATGTTCCACCATTTCAGGAGGTAGCATATGATCAAGAACCAGTGGTATTTAAGGAAGAAGCCCAAGCCGCACTGAAGTCGTTGGCAAAAGATAAGGCTCCAGGAATTGATGGAATACTGACCGAGATGTTTCAGCAAACCAATGCAGTACTAGAGGTGCCCACGTGTCTATGCTAAGAAATTTGGAAGACAGCTACCTGGCCAACCAACTGGAAGAGATCCACGTTTGTGTCCATTCCAGAGAAAGGTGATCCAACAGAATGCGGAACTCATTGAATAATATCATTAATATCATATGCAAGTAAAATTTTGCAGAAGATAAGTCAAAAACGGTTGCAGCAGTACATTGACAGGGAACTTTCAGAAATTCAAGCCAGATTAAGAAGAGGACATGGAATGAGGAATATTATTGCTGATGTCAGATGGGCCTTGGCTGAAAGCAGAGAATATCAGAAAGATGTTTACCTGTGTTTTATTGACTATGCAGAGGCATTCGCCTGTGTGAATCGTAACAAATTGTGGATAACATTGTGAAGAATGGGAATTTCAGAATACTTCATTGTGCTCATGCAAAACCTGTACATAGACCAAGAGGCAATCATTCGAATAGAACAAGGGGATACTGAGTGGTTTAAAATCAGGAAATTGTGCATCAGGGTTGTATCCTTTCACCATACTTATTTGATCTGTATGCTGAGCAAATAATCTGAAACGCTGAGGCTATATGAAGAAGGTGGCATCAGGATTGGTGGAGCACTCATTAGCAACCTGCAATTTGCAGATGACACAATCTTGCTTGCTGAAAGCAAAGAGTACTCGAAGCACTTATTGATGTAGATCA